CAAGCTATGTCACTTTCTGCCTGTGTGACTTCAGCCATATTGCTTAACACTTCTGGTCCTCAGTTTCCTCTTCTTTAAAATGGCAATAATGTCACCTGCCTTATACGAATGTGGTGAAGATTAAATGAGTAAATCTGTATAAAGTGCTCAGAACTTCACCTGTCACATAATAAACATTCCATAAATGTTAGCGTCTATTGTGATTATTATTTTCCAAACCAAAACTGACATAGGTATCTCATTGGAGGGGAAAAAGATATACCCATGATTATTTAATTTTCCTCTGAAAGTTCTGCAATAAAACAGAAGAAAAAGGTGTATGTAGGTGAGGGATAAAACCATTTTTTTTTAAACACATGATATGATCATTTCCCTGAAAGAAGCCAAAAGAATCAGTCAAAAGCCTCTTAGAAGCAACAATAGCATGAGATGGCCAGATGTAAATACTTAAAAATCAACTTCTCTCTAATATGTCAGCAATAACCAATTAGAAAATACAGTGATGGAGGGAAGGAGGCTACCAAATTTGAAAGGACCTTATGGTGGATGTCTTCTGTCCGTTGTTATGTGATATATATAATATTGGACTTCCTTATTATAAGGAATCCTTAGGATAAACCTTATTCGGCCTGTTGTATTATTTTCACACATTACATAATTTGGCTTGCTAATATTTTCTTAGATTTTGCATCTTAGTTTTTTTTTTTTTTGGTATGTCCTTTCTGTTACGTTTTAATATTGAGGTATACCAGTTACATAAAAAAGCCAGGACTCTTTGAATCCATTGTAAGACCTGGAGGAGGTTATATAGTGAACTAATTGTCCAGCAGAAGGCAGGATAGTGTGGGTGATTGTGGAATCAGATACTTTGCTTTCAGTCCTGGGTCTTTCTCTACCAGCCATGTGACTATGCAGATTACATCATTTCTCTAAGCTTTGTGTTCCTCATCTGAAAAATGGGTACAGAAATAGTATCCACCTCAAAGGTGGGGTAGAAGTAGGTTCAAGAGGTGGTGGACACCCGTCTGCTGATCTGGAAGAACCCTGGCTGCTCTCAGTGCCTCCTTGCCTGCACCTTGGCTGGCCCTTTCCTTTGGCCTGAACACCTATGGTCTGGGCCTTATCCTTGTCAACCTGCTTCAGCAGCCCTTGGCTCCCATTTCCACACAGGTTTCTTCAGTTGTAGGGTTTTGTGTATAAGGACCTGGCAGGAGGAAGAAGAAGGTAGAATATTGAAGCAGAGGAATCATAAGTGATAAAATTAATAAAAAATAGGCTTACTGGGAACTCTCAAAGTGAATGTCTAGAAATAATCTTTAAATCTTGAACTGAAACTATCCCATGAATCCATCGTTAAACTAAATGACAGGTTAGCCCAATTAATAAAGAATATTTGCCTTGAGCATAGCTCTCTTACAAAGAATTATCTTTATGAGCTTAATCTAACAACAGTTAATCTAAAGCACAGATGAGAACTTTAAGGGGCAGACAGCCTAAATTAATAGTGATGAAACAATATGGGTAGAGAGAGTGAGAACAGTGACACACTGTCAAGTATGTAATCACTGTTATTTTCTTTTTAGTACACATACTGTTTTATTACATTGGTTAATAACCCGTTGACATGTCAGTACTCTCCCTTCTCAACCTTGGGTTCCCTATTACCAGCTTTCCTGTCCCCTCCTGCCTTCTAGTCCTTGCCCCTGGGCTGGTATGCCCCTTTAGTCTTGTTTTGTCCTATGGGCCAGTCTAATCTTTGGCTAAAAGGTGAACCTCAGGAGTGACTTCATTACTGAGCTAAAAGTGTGTCCGGGGGCCATACTCTTGGGTTTCTCCAGTCTCTGTAAGGCCAGTAAATCTGGTCTTTTTTTGAGTTAGAATTTTGTTCTACATTTTTCTCCAGCTTTGTTTGGGACCCTCTATTGTGATCCCTGTCAGAGCAGTCGATGGTGGTAGCCGGGCATCATCTAGTTGTACTTGGACTCAGTCTGGTGGAGGCCGTGGTAGTTGTGGTCTGTTAGTCCTTTGGACTAGTCTTTCCCTTGTGTCTTTAGTTTTCTTCATTCTCCCTTGCTCCTGAAGGGGTGAGACGAGTGGAATATCTTAGATGGCCGCTCATAGGCTTTTAAGACCGAAGATGCTACTCACCAAAGTAGAATGTAGAACATTTTCTTTAAAAACTATGTTATGTCAGTTGAGCTAGATGTTCCCTGAGACCATGGTCCCCACAGTCCTAAGCCCAGTAATATGGTCCCTCAGGGAGTTTTGTAATCAATGTTATTGAACTGTTCATGTAGAAATTGTGAATAGATGTATATTTGGTTGTGTATATTGCAACTAAAATAAATAAAATATTAAAAAATAGGCTTACTAAATTACTGAAAAATTAGGTTTATCCAAAGGATTCAAGAAAACTAATGTATGAAGTCCAATATTATATATGTTACGTAACAGTGTACAAAGACATCCACCTTATGGTTCCTTTATTCAACACTGTCTTAATTTTCACATGGGTTCAGTATAACCAAACCAATTGCCTGGCTGCTCAGAGCACAAGCAGAGAGAAGGCGAAATCTCCAGGATTACAGGCCTGTGTGGCTTCCTTGGGAAGACCAGCCTACCTCTCACACGTGTCTGGAATCTCATACACTCACTGCCCGTGGAACTAGAGCATTGTGGGAAAACAAACGCTTACTCAAAATGCAACTTCACAGTTGTTTAGAGATGACAGTAGGGGCTATGGAGGGGCTATTTCTGAAATTATCCAGAACTTAGGGTGTTCTGAAGACTTAAGATGCTCTGGGCGTCTAAAGCATGTGCTTTGTCTTCCATTCATCTGTCATTTGTCGTTGACTTCTTATGGCTGGGAATGTGAGTTAGAGAACATCCTCCAGATCTGGGGATTTAGTATTTGCTGTTTCTAATAGTTAGGGCCTGACACCATCAGAGGTTCACTCCCTGTCCAGCTCAGGGTGAGAACACACACCTCCTGAATGCTGCTGCCACCCCAGAACATCATTCTTGGCAGGTCAAACAGAAAACTTTTCAAGAAAGTTGTTCAATAATTAAGTTCAGTGCACTTAATCAAAACTTTCTCCCTGGTATGACCACAAGAGTTGAAGGTGCATCAACATCAGGATTGTTGAAAGAGAAAAAAGTTTTTCTTTGTTAAATTTTTTTTTTTTTGTACTTTAGATGAAGGTTTACGGAACAAATAGTTTCTCATTAAGCAGTTGGTACAGATATTGTTTTATGACATTGGTTAACAACCCTACGACATGTCAACACTCTCCTTCTCGACCTTGAGTTCCCCATTACCAGCTTTCCTGTCCCCTCCTGCCTTATAGTCGAGAAAAAGGTTTTCCGTCAGGAGCAAAGTTTTGAGGAAATCTGCCTTACAGGTTATCCAGAACCTGTCTTCTGAAGGTGGGTCAGGTGTTGCGTACTTGTTGTGTGCTCTTTGAGGCTAATGCCTTGCTCAGAGCAAATGTAAAACAAAACAAAAGTAAAATAGAAAAGAGGCTCATCGGGATTTGAATGGACTATGAATGTAGATTTTCTGCCTACAAGCAGCCACTGGGCAGGAAGCTACTGGAGGCTTTTGTAGGATATGCAACTGGTTTTCCTTTCTCCTTTAAAAGAATACCAGAAAATCAAATCCACTGCCATCGAGTTGATTCTGACTCATAGTGACCCTATGGGACAGAGTAGAACTGCCCTATGGGGTTTCCAAGGCTGTACATCTTAACAGAAACAGACTGCCACATCTTTATCATTCAGAGAAGCTGGTGGATTTGAACCACTGACCTTTCAGTTAGCTGAGCGCTTAACTACTGCACCACCAGTGCTCCTTTTAAAAGAATAAAAAAAGGTTAATTAAAATTAACCACTCTTTCCCCTCTTATCTGGTCTTGAGAATAAAAAATATAATTGTTCCAGTCATTATTGTGAATTCATACTCGGAATATTAACAGTGTGCCCTGACGAGATCTTTGTTCCCCTCCTCTCCAATACAACCACAAAACCAGAGAGCAGGAAGGCACTACCAGAGTCTGTTGTAAATGAGGCCCTGATGGCGAGAGATGAGAGTCACCAGAAGGCCAGAAGAGTGGGGGTGGGGGAGAAATCTAGCCAAAGATAGACCCAACATGTTACCTGCTGCCATGTTGATTGGCTGGCTGCATTTCACCTTTCTTTACTGGCTTTTCCTTCTTTCCAAATCTCAAAGTCCAGATGCTGTTACCCCTAGGCAGCCAGGACTCAGGTTTTCTCCCACTTCTCCTCTTCTCTCAACTTCTCTGTGCTTTAGTCCTTTTCTGCATAAAGCAGGATGAGCCCTAGTTGGAGTGGAATTGGGAGAGGTCTGTCCTTTTGGTTCCTTATGAGAAATGAAGTGAGAAGGAAACACAGGTGAGACAAGGTGGGAGGTAAGTTGGTATTCCTGATAATAGATACCCTGTAAATATCTTTTGGTGGACTCCTATCTTCCTATAAGAGTAAGGTTAAGAGAGAAAAGCCTTACCAATCTTGAATTGATGCACAGCAAAATGACTCTTTCTGATTACTCAACAGTGTGTTTCCTTTTCCTATTTTCTAAAACTGTAAATTAGCCATGACAATGATCAATCGAATGTGTGTTGTTGCATTCCGGGGATTTCACTTCATGGGCACAGAATTAAAAAATTTCCCAACATAATCAAGCATGACTACGTGCAAACTCTGTAGATGGAACGAGTTGATGGAATTTGGCAATAAAATGTGTGTGCTTTTCCAACAAAGTCAATCTTCAGTATTTTATTTTTCTTAAAGCCCTGTAATATCACATTATTCCAGGACAGATGCTTGTTTAGTTTAGCATCCCTGCTTATCTGGAGCATCTTTCAGGTGGTTATCTCAGAACCTTCAAGTTCAGGAAGAACACTTGATGGACAGCATGTGAGTGAGGTGTTCTCTTTGGCCTACTCCTCTGATGCCCACATTTTGTCTCCTGTCTCCTTTAGGAGGGTCAAGAAGCACAGCATCATCCTGAGGACACAGCTGTCAGTGAGGGTCCATGCCTGCATCGGTGAGTGACATCTGCAGAGGGGACGCTTGTCAGCTATCCTCAGTGATTCAGCACATGATGAGAAATGGTCACTTATGGCAATAAAATAAAACATTCACGGTTATGCTCTCTTTGGGTTAACCCCAATCATAGATTGTTTGGGTTTTCGGTGAAGCAATTTACAGTAATAATTTTTGAAGCCCTGTTTCATTCTGATTTCCTTAGCTGTTTGGTTAGTGAATAGAGCTTGAGGTAAGATGGATTGCTGAATGCAGTTTTGTATGCAAGGTGAGGAGGGGTGAGGTTCTTTCTGGGGCTATGCTAGCATCAGCCTCCAGCCCTGAGGGTGGGAGGCTGGGCTGCTTGACGTCCTCTGAGCCCTCCTTGCCGTAGGTTGAAGTGAGCCCCTTGCATGCGTGCATTCTGGTGGCTCCTGAGGCTTTCTTGTGGGGAAGTGGATGCTGAGGCTTCAGGCTGCGGTCAGATAATTAAAAGGAAATCTTGGGTCCGTGTGGGGTAGAGGGCACACATAGTACAAAATGTGTTCAGTGAGCAAAGGTATTTGTGGTTCAGAGTGGTTTGTCCACGGCTGCTCAGGAACCCCACTGGGGCCATTCTTGCAGCCATTGATTTTCCTGGACCTGTTGGTCCCTCTGCCTGTAGACATGGGTTGAATGGCAGTGAAACCAATGATCTATGCCAAGTAGACAACCTCTATGTGACTGGTCTCTAAAGCTGTGGCCAGGTTTCCTCATGCTTTGGGCTAATCAGAGAAACTGTAATAGTATAAAAGGAGAAAAAAAGTAAATAAGATTCACTTTGCACATGGAAGTTCCTTATATCTGTGTAATTTTGCTTTTACTTAATATGCATCATGGCCCTAATTCAGGACTATAATTAGGAACAGCTATAATAAAAATTAGAAGAGAGTATAAATCATCCTGTTGCATCCCAGCCTACAACTCTAGCGTGGTATTCATCAGTGGGGTGGAAGGAATTGTTTCTAGCCCCTCTTCCTCCTCCCCTCTTCCCTGCTGGAGATCCAGGAACAGGGCAGGGGAGTGGTTGGACATGGAAGATAGTCTGTGTAATTTTACTTCATTTGGTGTTAAGTGTGGTGAGCCTGCAAGTGCACTGGAGTGACAACCTTTGTTTGACTCTCTTTAGAGAGGGATTGAGAAGCCCACTCATACACCTCAGAGGCTAGAGGTCAGGTTCAGGGAGGGTTTGCAGTTTTGTTGGAAACTAAGTAAGATTTTTCAGATCTTCAACCAATATTGACAGTTCTGCTCCTCAGGTAAGTTGTGACAGCTATAAAAGGTGGGAGAAAATTGTAAAAATCTAGATGGATTCTATGCTCAGATTGTTTCACAAGTGTCTTCAATTCTTGCTTGATTTCAAAGAAACTGTAATTGGAATGATAGACCACGTTCTCGGAGTGGCTTATAAAAGTATGTCCACATGGAACCCCAGTTAGTAGACCCTTACTCAAAAAATAGGCCATGGCCCGCAATAGACTGAAGGCCTATCTCCTTGTATGCTGTAAGCTGGTGACCAACAGTCCCTCATCTCAGGCAAACTGGGGTGGTCCGTCACCATAACTGTAAGTTAAAATAAAGTTTTAAGGCATATATGTATTTTTTTTTTTTAAGCGTATGACTTAGGGCTGATTATGTTGGATGAGAGGAGGTTACTCCATAGATTAACTTCAGTACCCAAGAAGGCAGTTTTTTCTTTTTATTGAAAACTCTCTTTCTCGTTCCATTTCCTATTATTGGCAAGATCTGGAATAGATTTATTATAATAGCACTAAATATTATCCTTTGGTTATGTATATACAATGGAATGTATGCATCTGTTTATGAAGTACCTCCCCCCATTGTGACACATTCTTACTCTTTCCAAATAGCAATATTAGACGAGTTTCTTTGGGATGGAAAAAAACCAAACCTGGGACAATCTCCAGTTGAAATGACAAAGAAGAAAATGACAAGGGGAAAAACAAAAGGTTTTTCACATCAGTTGTTTAAGGCCTTGTTTGTTTTCAGGATTATTTTCCATCTTCTCCATGTAAGAAATAGATGAATGATTACAGGCGTTGGACACAATGGCCACCGTCTTAGGCCTCATACCATCTCCAACACCCCAAAGACCTTCCTTCCTACCCTAGAATTGGACTGTAAGGATCCAGGATCAGCTTTTGTCTCATGGGTTTAAAATGCTTTCAGGTAAATTTCTACAAAACAATATTTTCCTTACGCTAAATCCTCTCCTCCTTCATTCCTGCTTTTATTAAGTGTAGGAATGTTTAGAATCCAGGACTGCATGTTGATGAATTGGAGGTGACATGTCTTTGGAATTCTCCAGTGTTAACTTTGGAACCCTGTGCCTGTTGGGATGAGAGTGGAGCGGAGCCTTCATGGTTAGCAACAGAGCAAGGCTCGTGAAAAATGAAGACCAAGGGAGCTCTGCTTTGATGCTCGCAGCAAGCAGCGGAGACAGGTCTTCTCCGATAGCCCAGCAGTTCTGAAGCATTTGGCAGGAGGTTGGAATAAGATCTTGGTACAGAGAAAGGCCCCAAGCTTTTCACCTCTATGCTCATCTCCACTGCAGTTTTTATTTCTTTGCACATTTTTAGTTTGACCACATGAGGTAACATTGTAGCAAAACATTACATGACTTGCCCTCTTAATCTAATTTGGATCCTCAGAGAAATAAAAATCTCTACAATCATAATGTGGGCATGAATTTAAAGATGATATACATGAAAAAAAAAAAATCCACAATAGGCATGAGAGGACTGCATTTTATGAGGTTAGCCAGAAAAAATAACGTTTTGGGTCCCTGCAAGTGATCCTATTTCCAGACACCAGAAAAAATGTTCAGAGGGCCAGCTGGCTCTGATGATAAATCTCATCATAAAGAGAAAGGGAGCTGAAGAACTGTGGGATAAGGAATGGAACCTAGAATTTAAAAAATAAGGTTTGAAGTCATTTTGATCCTAAAGTTAATACGTGTTTTCTACTGGCTGACTTTCCAGGATGGAGCCCTGGTGGCACAGTGGTTAAGTACTGTGGCTGCTAACCAAAAGGTCAGCAGTTTGAACCCACCAACCGTTGTGTGGGAGAAGGATGCAGCCCCATGGCAGTCTGCTTCCGCCTTGGAAACCCTGTGGGACAGTTCTGCTCTGCGCTGTAGGGTCACTATGAGTCCAGAATCAACTTGACAGCAATGGGTTTGGTTTTGACTTTCAAGGCTTTTTGTTTGGTCTGAAACCTCTGCATTTTAGTTTTTTGGAGCAGACCCCATCTTCCCATTAAGAAAATAAACACTGTCGGTTAATTCTCTGGGACCCAGAAGGCCTACACTTTCACGTATCCAGCACTGAGTTAAGCAAAAGGCAAAAAATTGGCTGAAGATACTGAAGTGTCATTTATGCTTGCAGTTGTGAAAGCACAGCCAGGCACAGGGGTCTTCAGAGACAGTCTCTTGTAACGTATGAGGTGCTGAGGTCAGCCGGTAGAGATGGAGGTGCGGAGGCCGGGGGGCAGACACTGGCCAGGTGACTAAAGTGCTGGACTCTGCCTGATGTTAATCTCATTGCTCATTAAAAGTCAAAGCACAGGACAGAGACACAATGGCCAGCATTGAAGGCAAAAAAAAAAAAAAAAGTAAAGCATAGGAGAAGGCTGCTTCATCTGTTGATGAAGGAAAGTAGTCAGTTTGCAGCACCAGAAACATCCACAAAATGAGGCATTACTACATCATTTGCAAAGCATTGTCCTCTTGTGAGCTAAGTCATGAGGCTACGTGCTCTGCACTGTTCTGTTATAGCAAAGGGGTGAATTAAAAATGGTGGCAACATTATGCAAAGCGAAATAAGTCAGTCACAAAAAGGACAAATATTGTGTGTCCCAATTATATGAAATATTTAAAATAGGCAAGTATATAGAGCCCAGGGTTTATTAGTGGTTAACAGGGACAGGCGGAGGAAGGGGGAAAAGGGGAGTTGGCACTGCTTAGGGGACACCAAGCTTCTGTTAAGGGTGATAGAAAAACTTGGAAATGGATAGTGGTGATGGCTGAACAACATGATGATCATAATTGATATAATTGAATTGTCCATGTGAAGCAAGTTGAAATGGTAAATGTTTTGTTGTATATACATTTACCACAATAAAAAAATGCAAAACATAAAAACAAATGAACAAAAATACGGTGGTGCATTTCTTCAAGAAGCGCTTTCTAGTGCAAGAATGACTAAGAGGTTTCATCTCATGTGCCAGCCAGTTTAGAGGAGGTGGCTCTTGAGGGCGCAGTGTTGAGAAGGATCCTAAGGCCACGTGCAGTCTTAATGAGAATGCGTCCCGGACCAGTGCCGGCTTTCATTGGTGGTGATGGAGGTGATGTGTGTGTCTGTGTGGTAGTCGCTCAGGGCCACCTAGCTACAGTGTAGGGAGGTCTGGGCTTCTGTATTCAGAGGGTGGGGAGCGGAGCCGTAACCCATGACCTCTGCCCCCTAACACATACTTTGTTCTGCCTTCTTTAGCTTGTTGTGACCATGAGCATGGGGCTCCTCTGTTCTCGCCCATCTTGTCTGGGTTGAGGGTACCAATCTCCCCTCCTGTCACTCTGAGGGTCTTCTCCTTCTCTGATCAGTTTGAGCTGGTTTTGTGAGGCTGAGCCCTACTGGCTCTGCCTTTTCCTATGTTAGGCTTGCCCTGTCTAGGGAGCTGCAGAGGGGCACTGACTTTGGCTCATTATCAGGATTCCAATGTGGTCCTTAAAAACCCCAAAACCAAACCAGTTGCCAGTGGAGTAGATTCTAACTCACGGCAACTCCATGTGTGTCAGAGTAGAACTCTGCTTCATGGGGTTTTTAATGGCTGATTTTTTGGATGTAGATTGCCAGGCCTTTCTTCTGGGGTGCCTCTGATGGACTCGAACCACTAACCTTAACTGCTTAGTGGTTTGCGCCACCCAGGGATGCTTAATGTGGTCCTTACCACCTCTCAACCCCA